GGGTCTCTGCCTCTCTCTCTGTGTCTCTCATGAATAAATAAATAAAAAATCTTAAAAAAAAAAAAAAAAGAGCATCTTCAGACGAGGCACTGATCCTGCTGTGGCTCCAACCCCACCTAAGCCTCATCACCCCCCCAACCCTCCTTCCAAACACTGTCAGGTTGGGGGTAGGGCCTCGATATCTGAAGGGGTGCACCGTTCCATAGCTAACATAGCTTAAAACTAGCTACCTTACCAAATTCTCAAGTCAGTTCTGACAGTTCCTTTGGCTAATATTCTTGGGATTTCAAATTATGCAACCATGTCATCTGAATATAATTAATATTAATCATAAGATTTTGTTTTCCTGCATCAACATCATCACCGTCATTATTATTTCATAAGTGAGAACTACAGAACAACTCAGAATAGTGGCAGTAGCAGGGGCTCACACCTTGGTTTAAACATGGATGGAGGGGACCCCTGGGTGGCTCAGGAGTTTAGGGCCTGCTTTCAGCCCAGGGCATGATCCTGGGGATCCGGGATCTAGTCCCACATCGGGCTCCCTGCATGGAGCCTGCTTCTCCCTCTGCCTGTGTCTCTCATGATTAAATAAACAAAATCTTTTAAAAAAATAAAATAGGGGATCCCTGGGTGGCACAGCGGTTTAGCACCTGCCCTTGGCCCAGGGCGCGGTCCTGGAGACCCGGGATCGAATCCCACGTCAGGCTCCCAGTGCGTGGAGCCTGCTTCTCCCTCTGCCTGTGTCTCTGCCTCTCTCTCTCTCTGTGTGACTATCATAAATAAATTTTAAAAATTAAAAAAAAATAGACATGGATGGATTTAAGATTTCAATATGTAATATACTCATTGTCAGCACTTGATACATTGTCTTTATCAAATTTAAAGAGTCCCTTCCATTTCTATTGTACTTGGACTTTTGTATAGAACAGCGGCTGAATCGGGGGCCCTATGCCGATTACCGCACAGCAGATTCTTCTGTGAACATGTTGGTGAGATCGCCTTGGCTGGTGGGTTCCTGACGTGGGATCTACTTGGTCAGGGCAGGCCGTGCATGAGCTCACTGCTGGATCTCATTTGCTGTTATTTATATTCAAGGTGTATATATACATTGTGTTGGGACACATTTGGCTTCAAGTATCAGAAAGCCCTACTTGAAGGGACTGGGATGGGAAGGGGATTGGTTATCTCAGGAGAAGAGGAGCAGGGCCTGGGTTCTCTGCCACCCTCTGTATGTCTGTGGCTCCCACCCAAGGTGCAAGGTGACCACACGGTGCTTGGCATTACACCTAATGTAATGACAGTGAACAGAGGCAGGGAGACATGGCCTCCTCCTGTGGGACCCTTCCAGGGGTACTCTGAAGACTCCCCTCTTAACCAACTGCATCCTAAGCCTCTGGATGCAGATCCATCAGTGGTACAAGGCCCAAGGTGACTTCTTTGGGTCACTATGTCCTGCTGGCATCTGGGACAGTGAGCCTGTACCTGTGTGCCCAGGCATCACAGGCCACTTCACGGCCCCAGCTTCGGACGGTACCCCCACCCCATGGTTCCAACACCCTCTGGTTATATGGCCGTGGTCCCCCTACGGGGACCGAGACTGGCCATCCTTCCCTGGAGCATGTGGCTTCACTAAGGAAGTGGTCACACAAGCCAAACAAAACTCTAATGACAGGGGCGAGGCAACTGGGCCAGGCCACTGACAAAGCCAGCAGCTTATGTTTGTTGATGAAAGCGATCCACAGTGCCTTGTGCCCTCTCTTCATCGGACCTGGGGTTTTAGGCTGGCAAGCTGTTGGGAGGGGGTGGGCAGCATCCCTTGGGTAACGGGGCTCGGTTCGAGGAGCAGAGAAAGCCCGTGTTTTGGGCCGCCTGGGTGGGCAGACCCGCCGCGGGCCTGTCAGAGTCCAGATCCCGTCTTAGCAGTTTAGTCCATGGCTACTGGTCTGCTCCTCTTCTCTCTGCTTTCTTGGGTCAACTTTGACCATTGAAGTCTTGATACAGACTCTTACATTTTCTCTAGATCTTCCAGTTCACATTTATGATGTTTTCTTTTTTTAAAATTTTTATTTATTTATGATAGTCACACAGGGAGAGAGAGAGAGAGGCAGAGACATAGGCAGAGGGAGAAGCAGGCTCCATGCACCAAGAGCCCGACGTGGAATTCGATCCCGGGTCTCCAGGATCACGCCCTGGGCCAAAGGCAGGCGCCAAACCACTGTGCCACCCAGGGATCCCATATGATGTTTTCTTAGTTTGTAAAATCTCCCCTGTGGCTTGGATGGTGCCCTTTTCCCTTTCTTCAGGTGGGGTGTATTTGTGTTTTCCCTCCAAGGCACGACTCACAGTCACCCCAGAGCCATTCTTGTCTTCCTGATCCACAGGACCTGACTGTGTTTGGAACAGCAAGGTGCCAGCTGGAACTCCTGGCCTCCCCTGCACCGTGTGTGGCCGTGTTTAACAAAGTGACAAAGTCATGGGGAGCTGGGGACATGTTTTGCTTTCCTTTTTGACACTTCTTTTCTCTTTTCCTTCCTGAAAGCACAGAAATGAGGCCTGAGGAGGAATATCTGATCTCTCTCACAAGGTGGAAAGCGCAGGACAGGAGCCTGGGAGTGAGTACCCTGGGTCGCACCCCGTGCCTCTGCCACCCACTCTGAATGGTGGTCTGGGGACAAATCATAAACATCTCACTCCCTGTAGACATGACTGTGTCCCAATCCCATGCGGTCAGAGGCCAATCCTCCTTGATACCGTCCGTCTCTTTTTTCACTGACGGGCCCCCAAGGATTTGTCATCTTTGTTTTTTCCCAAATGCTCAGCTTTTTTGCTATATGACTCATGTCAACTTTTAATCTTTAGTAATTTCCTCTTTGTATTTTCTTTTGATTTGGTGAATTGATGTCATATATACACACATATACACATATATGTATATATACACACACCTGTGTATAGGCAGTAAAGTTACCTAGGTTTGCAGAATTTCCTTTGGTCTATTCCATACATTTTATATAATGTCATTTACCATCTAGTCACATTTTAGGTAACATGCAGTTGTGTTGTAACTTTCTTTCAATTCAAACCTTTTTTAGAAATATCTCCTTGGGGCACCCGGGTGGCTCAGTGGTTGAGCATCTGCCTTCTGCTCAGGTCGGGGTCCCGAGGTTCTGGGATCAAGTCCCACATCATGTTCCCTTTGGGGAGCCTGCTTCTCCCTTTGTCTGTGTCTCTGCCTCTCTCTCCATGTTGCTCATGAATAAATAAGTAAACTCTTAAAAAAAAACAAAAGATCTCCTCACTTAAAATGGTTATGTTTTCCATTGGATGTTTTTTATTGCCATCTTCTAAACATTTACTCTCTAAAAACAAGCTTTGGAGTTGCTTTATTGTTGGAGGAGCAGTTTCACCAACCACATAGTTCTGCAAGAACTGCTTAGCGAAACAGCAGCATCCCCCTGCGCCCTGCTGCCCCTCCCCAGGTACAACCCCTGTGACTCCTGGAGTTGGTGAGTTGGGACTGAGTCCCACAATTCTGAACAACATGCTTCTGCAGCGCTGTTTCTTAATTGTGGCTTCTCACTGACTTAGGCTCAGGAAGATGAAGTGTCAGCATCTCTCCCCTCCACCGTGCCCGGTCTTCCTCCCCCTTCACCTCTCCCCTCCTCCTAATAGACTCAAGTTCTAATTGCCCTGGGGTCAAGATGCCAGGAGGATGTCTGATTACATTATTAAGGCAATGGAAAGGAATGCACAGCTGACTCAGGTAGTATTTTGTGATTACTTTTTATTTTCCTCCTAGTCGTCACTGTCTTATGTTGTTGCTATTGTTGTGTCAGATGGCCAGGGCCGGCCAAGCAGCTTAGCGTGCAGGGCTTAGCTCTGTGGACTGCGGCGAGCCTGCGAGCCGCGTGCGGGGGCGGGAGAGGAGCCCGGGGCGCAGCCCCGCAGGACCGGGCGGGCGGGTAGGTGGGAAAGGCTGCCCCGTCAGAGGGCCTTATGACCGCTGCTTACTGCTTGTGCCCTGGTGTTTCTGCCCTACAAAAGGTGTGCCGTTAGGTGGGGAGAGCCTCACGGGGAATCTGCATGTGTTCCGGGGCCACCAGGGCCTCACGGAAGTTATGGAGTGACATTGCTGGAACAACCCTGCAGGGAGCGCAGGCTCTGAACATAGTCTGATCCTGGAAGCAGGCCAGTTCTGCAGGCCGCGCTGGTCCTGGAGGCCAAGTTGGTTCTAGAAGGTGTTTGCGTAAGACGATTCCTTTTTTTTTTTTTTTTTTTTACTTATGATAGTCAGAGAGAGAGAGAGAGAGAGAGAGAGAGAGAGAGAGAGAGAGGCAGAGACAGAAGCAGGCTCCATGCACCGGGAGCCCGACGTGGGATTCGATCCCTGGTCTCCAGGATGGCGCCCTGGGCCAAAGGCAGGCGCTAAACCGCTGCGCCACCCAGGGATCCCCAGCGGAAGACGATTCCACAAGCAGGTTGCCGGGTCGGGTTCCAGGGAGCGGTTCGAAGGAAGGTTCTGGAAGCGGGTTCTGCCGCCGTGACAGCGGAGGCCAGGGCCGAGCCGGCGTCTGCGAGCGAGCGGAGAGGAAGGACCCGCACCAGCTCTAACACCGCCGTTATATCCCTGGGGCGGGACCAAACCGCGCGGTGCAAGCTCGGGCATTCTCGAGAAAGCTCGGTGCAAGCCGGTGGAGCGGCTCCGGAGGCCGAGCAGGGAGTTGTCTTTTTCCCTCTTACTCTAACTTTTCCGCACGCTGAGCGGACGCTGCGGCGCATGCGCAGTCCACGCCCCGCCGGGCCGCGGGGCGACGGGCCAGGCGGTTGTCACGGGCGACCGCATTCTCCCGAGACTCCGCGCCCGCGCGGGCGGGGCCTGGCCGAGCGGGCCCGCCTCCCTCGCACCCTGATTGGCTGGGGCCGCTGCTCGTTGGCGTCGCCGCGGCCGCCGATTGGGCAAAGGTAAGTTCGCACGCTCGGCTCCTGGGCCACGCCCCCCCAGCCGGCCCACGCCAGCCACCCGGGAGGGGAGGACGCTGGGGGACCCGGCGCGGCCCCGAGAGGGACCTGCGCGAGCCTCGGCCTCCAGGCGGGCGCGGCCCGGACGGTGGGCGGCAATGATCCCCGAGGAGAGGCCGGGCGGCCCGGGCGCCGGCGAGGACAGCACGAGGCTGCAGGCGGCAGGCAGCGTTCGAAAGGTGGGCGCGTCCGCGGGGCCGGGGGCCCGTGGGGGGGGTCGGGGACCCCAGCCCACCTTGGCTGCCACCTGCCGCCGGCGGGCGCGGGGCTGCGGGGTGGGCGCGGCCTCTCAGGTCTGTGCGCTCCAAGACTTGTGGCAGCCCCCCGCCCTCGCTCCGGAGGCTGCCCTCCGGGGAAACTGAGGCACGGCGCACAGGCCGGGCCCTCCCGCCTGCCTGCGCTGGGCGCCCCTCATCCCGTCCGGGGCACAGCCTGTGCGGCTCAGTAGAGCTCAGCGCCTCTCCGCCGCTCGGGGACGCCGCGGGCCCGCTAGGCAGGTATTGGGCTCGGGTCTGAGGCTGCGGCCCCGTGCCAGCTCCCCGTGCCAGCTCCCCGTGCCCGTCACTCCTTCCCTAGCTTCTCCCTCCCTCTCGCCCGGGCTGCTCAGCCTTGCCCCGGGCGCCTGGCTCTGTCCTGACCGAAACTTTCCGCGCCGGCAGCGGGAGCCTCCCGCGGACAGGAAGTGGCAGGAGGACCCCACAGCTGGGCAGTTTGTCCTTTCCTCGCTCACCGCGCACCTCCTCCCCGTCTGAGGTCCCTAATCCTGGGGCGCTGACTAGGACTGCGGGCCATGCCCGGGAGTACTGGGGAATCTCTGCAAGGGGATGGGAGTGCTGAGAGGGAGGGGGCTGCCTGTCTGGGGCCTGAAGCCTAGGCGTTCCCTGGGGGCCACAAGAGGCCATCCCAGTGTCCCTACCAGGCCCATGTGGGGCGCTACAGGGCTCAGAGTAGCTTCTGGCTCCCAGGCTGCAGGTCCGTCGTCCCCCCCCCCCCGCCCCGCCCCTTCCAGCACATCTCCAGGAGCACTGGACATCTGAGACCAGGTGAACGGTGTTGATGAAGACAGCCCTCCTGAGCTGATGGCCTCTGCCCAGCACATGGACCACCCCCTCCCTGGGCAGATGGACATGGCTGCTGGCCCCAAACCTCTAGAACCTGCTGCAGCTTTGCAGTCGCACCTTCAGAAGGGGAAGGATGGAGCTTTGGCTCTGGCCTGCACCCCTACCCCCAGGGTCTCAGGCCTCCTGGAGAGGAGACAGCCTGAGAGAGCTTCCTTGGTGATCTCTCTTGAGAACGTTGGAGTGGGGGCGAGACGTTGAGCATAATCCAAGGTGGCCATGTTCCAGGAGCCTTCAGCGTGGGAGGGTGGGAGGCTTTCTTTAGGATGCTCTCTTTGAGGGAGTAGAACAAGATATAGCCCCCAAAGCATCTGAAACTGCCCTGTGCCTGATTGGGGGGTACACACCAAGGAAAATAGGCCCCATTTCCTGCGGCATGTGGAAGATGGTAGGCACCAGGGAAGCTGTCGCTGCATCAGGGCAGGGTCCTGGGAGGGACCGTCTTCATCCCCACTCTGTTCAGGGGCCATGTGACCATATTTGTGGACTTAGCTCAGGGAAGGCGCATCCTGAGAAGTTCTTCTGAGCTCCAGGGCTGGTGACTGTCCCAAACAGAAGGTTCCTATTTTTTTTTAATATTTTTAATTTTTTTTAATTCATTTATGATAGTCACAGAGAGAGAGAGAGAGAGGCAGAGACACAGGCAGAGGGAGAAGCAGGCTCCATGCACCGGGAGCCCGATGTGGGATTCGATCCCGGGTCTCCAGGATCGCGCCCTGGGCCAAAGGCAGGCGCCAAACCGCTGCGCCACCCAGGGATCCCCCAAACAGAAGGTTCCTAACTGACCAGGAGGAGGCGTGGTGGCCTGGGCCCTGAGAACTGCTCCAACTCCCCATGGGGCTTACCGAAGCCCCTGACCTTCTCTGCCCCCCCCCATTCTCCAGTAACAGAGTTGTGAGATCAAACCCCCCCCCCACATGGGGTTCCATGGTCAGAGAGGAGTCAGCTTGAGATTCTCTCCCTTGGCCCCTTACCCCACTGTGTTTGTGCGAGCGCACTACCTACCTCTCTCTAAAATTAATAAATCTTTTTTTTTTTTTTTTTTTTAGATTTTAATTATCTAAGAGAGGGCAGTCTGGGTAGCTCTGCGGTTTAGCACCACCTTCAGCCCAGGGCATGATCCTGGAGATCTGGGATCAAGTCCCACGTCGGGCCCCCTGCATGCAGCCTGCATCTCCCTCTGCCTGTGTCTCTCATGAGTAGATAAATAAAATATTTTTTTTAAAAAAATAATTATCTGAGAGAGAGAGAGCACACATGCATGTGCACACAAGCAGGGGGAGGGGCAGAGGGAAAAGCAGACTCCCCACTGAGCAGGGAGCCTGGCATGGGACTCAATCCCAGGACCCTGGGATCATGACCTGAGCTGAAGGCAGATGCTTGACTGACTGAGCCACCAGGTACCCCAATAAATAAATCTTTAAAAAAAGAAGTGCAGAAGGCTGTGTGGTGAGCAATTGGCTACTTCCTGCCAGGGGCTCCCAGAGCCCCGTCGCACTGGTGCTGGCCCCACAGTACAGGCCCAGCTGCTTCTTGGGGCCCTGGTCCCAGCCCTGTCCCCCCCACTCTGTCCTTTCTGGCCTGATTGCCCCCACGCCCCTCCTTTCTGGCATCACGCACTATGCCCAGCTTCTGCGCTCATGCACCTCCGCCAGGCCTGCCTGCTGCTGTCCGTGGAGCTGGCTCACACTCACCTGTGGTGACCGCCCCCTTCCCTGCCTGCAAGAGTCCTCTGGCCCTTGGGAGCTGCTGGCAGAGGCCTGGCCTGGCCCCTGTGACCTGCAGCCTCTCCACAGGGCTGTGACCCCCTGGCCCAGACAGCGCCCGGCCGCCTGCAGAGCCGCAGGGCTCAGGTCCACCAGCAGATCACCAAGGAGCTACGGATGCGAACAGGTGCCGAGAACCTCTACAGGTGAGTGCCGGCGGCCATCCCCATCCCTCAGGAGGGTGGCGGCGCTGCTCCCTGAGGCCCTCTGCAAACCAGCCTATGTTGAACACAAGGCAGTGACCCAGCTGGGTGCCCGATCCTGTGGTCTGGTTTGGGAGATGGACACGTGAGCAGGTGACTGTGGCTGCTGCAGGCTCAGGAGGCGAGGCTGGGCCTCCCCCTGGAGTCTGGGGCAGCCATATTGTACAACTGAAACCCTCACAGACCACCTGGGCTCCTGCCTTGGTGGGCCTCACTGGCGAGGGTCAGCCCAGGGTCAGCCAAGTGCCACGTGGGGCTGGAGGGAGCTGGGGTGTGGTGTGGGAGCCCCTGATTTGTGAGTGGAGACAGCAGGGGTTTCTCAGCAGAGGCACTGTTTAGGCTGAGCTGTGACACATCCCCCAAGATTGTGGCCCCAGGAAAGTGTCCTCCAGGCCGAAGGGGTGCATCCCCCTTGGAACAGTGAGCTGCATGTCTGCTCAGACCTTCACCCATGTCTCCAGGAGCCCACTCTATGGGCGATGGCCCAGGGATGTGGTCCAACCTGTAGAGCCACAGCCGGTGTGTGCAGGGCCGGCAGACAGGTTCTGGGGTCTGCTGGGTGCAAGGGGCCCTCCAACCCTTCGCCACCTTGGCAACCCGTCCCTGCTGTCAGCCTGGCCTTCCGGGGACTCCCTGCCCCTTCTGTCGGGTGCTCCGATGTAGGCACAGAGAGGGTCTGACCCCAGCCTTCCAGAGAGGTTGGTTTTGTGTCGCTGTGGAGGTTGCACCAGGGCCCGCCTCCAGGGGAGAGGTGGTGGGAGGCGAGAGCCTGTGCCCTGGGCGGCCTGGGTGTTAGCTGATGTGCTCGGGCCAGAGGCGCCATATGTACGCGTGCATGGGAGTCCCCCGAACTGCAGGGGGACTCAGGAGAAGAGGGAGGTCACAGGGGGGGCGCTGGGGCTGTGAGCACGGGGGTGGGGAGGCCCGGGGCACGCAGTCCCCCTGCAGAGCCCCACCCCGTGCCTCCCGCAGGGCCACCAGCAACGCCCAGGTCAGGGAGACGGTGGTCCTGGAGCTGAGCTACGTCAACTCCAGCCTGCAGCTGCTGAAGGAGGAGCTGGAGGAGCTCAACGGCAGCGTGGAGGCTGATGGGCCCGGGAGGTGCGCGCGGGACCGCGTGGCCCGGGTCAGGGCGGGGGCGGGGGGGTGTCCAGCCTTCGCGAGCGCCCTGCGGCTCTGCCCCTCTGGCTGCAGCCAAGGTATCGCCGTTCTGATGATCCCCCTGGGGCTGAAGGAGACCAAGGAGCTGGACTGGTCCGCGGCCCTGAAGGTAAGTGCTGACTGGGGCCCTGGGGCCGGTGGACGGGGCTGCGGCCGAGAGCCACACGGGCTGCCCTGGCGTCCGAGGGGTCCAGGAGGCTTCCCGGTCCAGGCAGAGGGAGGAAGAGTGGCCTGGGGCCACCCAGCTGCCCAGGCTGGGGGGGTTCCGTTTGGCTGGGCTTTGGAGAGGAGCGCCCCGGTGGGCTGGGCAGCGCGGGTCATCCCTCTGTCGCCGAGAGCCCGGTGCCTGGGGGCTGGGCCTGCAGTCAGAGCGGGTGCTGGCCGGACCTGGAGCCTCAGCAGATCGCACGGCCTCGGGGGCATAAGGGACTGCACCTCCGCACCCTGTGTCTGCGGGGCAGGAGCCCCAGGGCCAGGGAGGGGACCCACGGCCCTACACACCCTGCCCCAGGGCCCGGGGCTTCCTTCCGCTGCTGACTGCCCACCTTGCACTGGGTGACCAGTGGCCAGCAACTGCCCCTCCCCTCCCAGGAGCTGATCTCTGGGCACTTCGGAGAGGACGGTGCCTCCTACGGGGCCGAGATCAGGGAGCTGGAAGACCTGCGGCAGGTGCCTGGGCTCTCCCCTCCTTCTCTCCCGCTGCCCCTCCCCTCCCCTCCCCTCCCCTCCATTCTTCCTCCTCCCCCTTCCCTCCTCCCTCCTCCCCCTTCCCTCCCCTTCTCTCTCCTTCCCTCCACTCCCCTCTCTCCATCCCTCCTCCCCCCATACTCCCCCCTCCCCCTCCCGTACTCTCCCCCTCTCCCCTCCCTGGAGACCAGTTACTCCCAGCTCACAAGGGAAACTGAGGCTCAGGAAGAGGAGCTTGGCATAGGCATTCACACACAGTACAGGGGTCCCTGACTGGGGCAGCTCTGGGGACAGCGCAGAGACAGGTGCATACCCGGGGCACACAGACGGCTCCTTGCATACCAGGGAGGTCCTGTCCTCACCACATGCTGCTGGCCCTTTAGGAACGGCTGCCCTGTGGCTGTCCCCTCCTGGGGACCCTGCCCGGGCCTCTGCCTTGTGTTCTGCATCCCCAGGGTGGGGCCCCAGCAGCCTCAGAGAAGACAGGTGTGCCTCCGTGTGACCTTGTGCCCCCCCCCAGACCCTGGAGTGCTCCCATGGGGCTGTGACATCTGAGGGACTTCGCTGGGTGGTGTGGGTGCCCTGGGCTGGGCCTGGGTGCTGGGGCCAGCTGCTGCCTACCCCGCAGGCCATTCGGACGCCCAGCCGTAGCGAGGCGGGCCTGGAGCTGCTCATGGCCTACTACAACCAGCTCTGCTTCCTGGAGGCGCGCTTCGTTGCCCCTGCCCCTGCCGGGAGCCTCGGGCTACTCTTCCATTGGTAGGATGGGAGTGGGGGGGGGTCCCCACCACCACCACCGACTGCCCCGAGGCCCTTCTGAGACTCTCGGCTCAGCCAGCCTGCCCGCCCCACCCACAGGTACGACTCGCTCACGGGGGTCCCGGCCCAGCAGCGGGCCCTCGCCTTCGAGAAGGGCAGCGTGCTTTTCAACATTGGGGCTCTCCACACCCAGATTGGGGCTCGCCAGGACCGCTCCTGCCCTGAGGGCACCAGGCGCGCCATCGAGGCCTTTCAGAGGGCTGCTGGTGAGGGCAGCCCAGACCCTGGACCCCACGGCCGCAGTTGGGGGGGGCGTGCATCTGCAAGTAGAAGAGCCCCTTCCCCGGGACCAGAGCTGGCGGGGGTGGCCGCCAGTGCAGGGGGTCAGGCGCACACACAGCCCCTTCCTGGGGGATGCAGGCCTAGGGGGGGCACTGGCAGCCCTGGCCGCCTGCTGTGAGCGCCCCTCTGCAGGGGCCTTCAGTCTCCTGCGGGAGAACTTCTCCCGAGCGCCCAGCCCAGACATGAGCCCCGCCTCACTCTCCATGCTGGAGCAACTCATGACGGCCCAGGCCCAGGAGTGCGTCTTTGAGGGCCTGTTGCTGCCGCCCCCTGCGACCCCCCAGGATGGTGTGGCCCAGCTCCGCCTGGCCCAGGAGGCTGCCCAGGTGAGGACAGGGAGCCCTTGTCCCACAGGGACCTGGCCAAGTGTGGTAGCTGCACAAGCAGGAGGGCCTGGACCGAGGGTCCTGCAGGGGTGCGGGGTGACATGGCTGTGTCTCCTGTTGGCCTGGTCTCTGGGGCTGGGCAGGACCCCAGTGCCCTGAGTCCTTGCCCCTGGGGCAGCACCGAGCAGAGCGGAAACTGGGGCCAGACCCCTGAGCTTGGCTCAGCTCGGGCTGCGGGGCAGGTAGGGGCCAGGACTCAGGGTGGCAAGGGGCAGGGGCTGAGGCTGCTGGGCTCCTCCTGGAGCCCGAGAGGAAACCCCAGTGTCACACGACGTGCCGGCAGGTGGCAGCTGAGTACAGGCTGGTGCACCAGACCATGGCCCAGCCTCCTGTCCGAGACTACGTGCCCTTCCCCTGGACTGCCCTGGTGCACGTCAAGGCTGAGCACTTCCGCGCCCTGGCCCACTACCACGCGGCTGTGGCCCTCTGTGACAGCCCCCGTGAGTGCCCTGGCCCCGCATCTGTGTGCTGCACAGGCCCCAGTGCGCGGGCTCACGGCCCTCTCCATCTCTGACCCCCGCAGCGGCCCAGGTGGGGTTCCCGGCGCTCCAGCAGCCCCTCCGCGGGTCGCCAGCCACGTCCCAGCCCTGGGGCTCCGCATGGCCTGAGGAGCCAGAGGAGCGCAGGAAGCTCGGTGAGGGGGGTGTGGAGGGGACTGAGTGACCCAGCCTTCACGAGTCGCCTGTCACGGGCACGCCTGGTGTCCCAGCACCGGCGGGAACAGTCGCCAGCTCACCTTCGGGACGTCCCCTTCATGGCCCAGGCGGGGCGGGAAGGCCAGGCGTGTGCGGGTGCTCGTGGGGGGCAGCCCGTCCCAGAGCGGCCGGCGGGCCCTTGGGATGGACCCAGACCCCTCACCTGCCCTCTGGCCGCGGCGCCCACGGGCACGGGCCGGCTGCATCCCCGCAGGCAAGGCGCACCTAAAGCAGGCCATCCTGGGCCAGGAGGAGGCACTGCGGCTGCACGCCGTGTGCCGGGCCCTGCGCAGAGTGGACCTGCTACAGGCCGTGCTGGCCCGGGCGCTGCGCTGCTCGCTGGCCAAGTACTCGGAGCTCGACCGCGAGGACGACTTCTTGGAGACCAGCGAAGCTCCTGACATCCAGCGTGAGCAGCCCGGCCCATCGGGACGGTGGCGGGGGGCTGAGCCCTGGCGGGGAGCCCACGTGGGCACACTCCCTCGCTCTTGGGGGGCCTCGCCATCCCCGCCGGCGGTTCCTGCCCCGGGGAGGCTGCAAGCTGCGGCCTGGGAGGCAGACCTGCGCGGGGCGGCGGCACCTGCTCCATGGGAGCCGGCGGGATAGCCAGAGGGGGAGCCGCGGGCCCAGGAGTCCCTTGTGCCTGCGGCCACGGCTCCTCAGGACACCTGCTCGGCTCCAGCTGACCCCAGTCCTGGCTGCGGCCCAGGAGCCTGAGGGTCCACGAGTTCAGGCATAGCCCTGACCTCGCCTTACCTTTGTCATTTCAGCCAAAACACAGCAGAAGCCAGAGATCAGGGCGCCCAGCTTCTCCAGCGTGAAGGTGACCGACATCTTCCACCGGCTGGTGAGCGTCCCCTGCCCAGGACACCCCTCCCCTTCAGCAGGGGCTCAGGCAGGTGGCCCTGCCCTGGGGGAGGACCCTGGGCCTGGTGGTGGCCTAGCCTGCTCCCGCCCTTTGCTGCACCTGGTTTCTGACCCAAGACGTAGAGATGGGGTGGCAGGTGTTGTGGGGCCTGGCCAGGCCGCTGACGCCCCATCGCCCACCCCCAGGGGCCCCTGTCCGTGTTTTCAGCCAAGAACTGCTGGCGGCTGGTGGGGCCTGTCCACATGACCCGGGGAGAGGCTGGCTTTGGCCTCACGCTGCGAGGAGACGCGCCCGTCCTCATTGCCGCTGTCATCCCGGGGGGCCCAGCCGCGGTAAGGCCCCCACCCCACCCCCAGAGCCGAGGCCCCCGGCCTGGAGCGGGCAGATGGGACTGTGGCCGGAGGTGGCGGGTGCCCACTCCCAGACCCCCGTCTCCCCGCAGGCAGCCGGCCTGCAGGAGGGCGACTACATCGTGTCCTTGAATGGGCAGCCGTGCAAGTGGTGGAAGCACGCCGAGGTGGTGGCACAGCTGAAGGGTGTGGGCGATGAGGGTGTGAGCCTGCAGGTGGTGACGCTGCTGCCCCGGGCAGAGCCACCCGGCACGGTGAGCCCGGGAGGGTCCTCCCCTGGGCCCCAACATCCCCAGATGCCAGGAGGGCCCTGGGAAGAGGAGGCTGCGTGTGGGCCACCCTCACTGGGTAGCTTTGTGGGCAGCACCACCTGTACTCTGGCCTCCACCCGGCGCCGTTCCCTGCCCTCCACGGCTCGGTGTGCCCAGGCTCCCGCTGCTGGAGCTGCCTTCACTCAGCCCAGTGTGGCCCACGGCGGGGGTGCTGCTGCACTGTCGCCCTCACGACCACAGCTCGTCTGGACGGCCACCAGCCATCTCCCCGGGCTGGCCACAGGCAGGCGGGCAGGGGTGCTCACTTAATCCTTTCTGTCTCGACTGCAGGGGCACCACCAGCCAGCCCTGGGGGGGCTTCTGCGGAGCCAGAAGGAGTGTGGGGGGGGGACGCCAGCTCCTGTGCGAGCCAGCCCCAGGCCCTTCCTTGGCTGGAGCCGCAAGGCCAAGAGGGGCAAGAGCAGAGGGAGGCTGTCCCCACAGCCCTGAGCCGTGGGCCACCCGCCCCCTGGGGGTGCCCAGGGCGGCGGTGAGGGGCCAGCTCCCCTGCCCCTACGCCCTCCTCCATCCCAGTGGCCGGAGCTGCCCATTAAAGACGATGTCAGATGCTGTGTGTGTGAGCCCAGTGGTGGTGGCCGGGTGCTGCACCCACCACGGGGAGTGTCACCATTGCTCTGGGCGCGGAGTCCAGACGCCAGAACACTGCCGCTGGGCTGCCCTGTCCTCATGCATCCCCCAAGTGCCCCCCCCCCAGGAGAGCAGCCTCCCAGGTGGAGAAGGGCTGTCCTGGAGAGGTGGGGCAGGTCGGGTAATGTGTCGGCTGTGGGTCCCTGAAGCCCAGATGCTCGGTGCCCCGTCCCCCCGCCCCTGGACAGACCGCACCCTGGCCACACCCTACCTTGGGCCTGGCGCTGTGACCCTCCAGTGACCCCGCCACTGGCCCAGCCCCACAGCACCCCAGAGGCCAGCCGGGGCTCTGGGCGCCTGCTGCACCACCCACCCTGTGGGCAGCGTCCCACAGGGACAGGGACGTCCCACCGGGCCCAGGCCTCTGCTTCTGCTCTGCACCCCGGTCACGCCTCAGCGCCAGGCACGGACCTCGAACCACCCGGCCACTGCTGTCCGGGCCTCCTCCAAGCCTCCCGCTGGGCCTGACCCCCACCCCGGGAGACTTGCCCCAAGTTGTCCAGCAGGCCGCGGGCGTCAGGGTGAAGGCCCGGCTGGCCCGGAGTCTGCGTGGCCACCAGGGGGCGACCGCTGTCCGCTGGAGGCAGCGTTTGGGGAGGGGCGGGCGGGCAGCGTGCCGCCACCTGCTGGGGCAGCCTCCTCCCAGCCCCCGCCCCCCCCCCCCCCCCCCCCGCCGGCCTCTGGTGGTAACCACGGGGTGGGGGGGGCTCTGAGTGGGGGGCAGGGCTCCCCTGACTGAGCCAGGCGAGGGCGGCCAGGTGCGTTCCTTCCGACCCACCTGCCCTCCTGGGAGAACGCCCCCCTCAGCGCCACCAGCCAAGGTCACCTCTGCGCTTACTAATTCAATTAATAAAACTGCGCGTCAAAGAGGCCATTACCTGCTAATCAGGGATGACGGGGTGGCAGGTCTCGTCCAGGAGGATGCTGCGACCCCCTATCTCTGATGGGAGTCTGGACCCAAGAGGAAGACGTGGGCACCGCAGGCCCTGTGCCTGGGGCTCCTCAGCTGGGGGGGCGGGGATGGGGGGGAGCGACGAGGGGGCGGGGGCTGGGGGCTGCCGTGGGTCGGTTCCCCCCCATCCATGTCGATGACCCCTGTGGTCGGGAGCTCCCCAAGGGGGTCTCTGAGGTCCTGCTGCCAGGCCCTGCCCCTGGTTTGGGGGTTCCGAGGGCCCCTGATCTGCCTCTCGCTGCCAGGACCCCTTTCCCAGGGAGGGAGGCGGGTGACGGGCTGGGGAGCGAGGGGCCCAGTCCAGCTGCACCAGAGGCCTGCCGGTGTATCCTGGGCCCTGAGGGGATGCCCACCCCCCCGCGTCCAGACTCTGGGCTCCCCACCCCGACCACCGGTTCTAGGTCAAGCGCACCACCTATGTGTGTGTCACAGACACGCCACCGGGGGCACAGTGGCTGAATGCCCCGGAGGGTCCCCGCGTGTGCCCCCTGGGGAGGGCGGATCAACACTCGGGGCACTTCCCGGAGTAGCAGCCCCCGCCTCCCCCGCGACCAGCACCACACAGGGCCCGTGTGCAGGGACCCGTCCGTGCGCCACCATGCTCCATGCAGGGACATCTCATTTTCCAGAGCGGTCCCCCCTGGCAGGGAGGTCGGGGTGAGTGTGCGCTGCGATCCTTTTTGCTTTGCCAACAGAAAACTGCCAAGAGGGGGAAAAGCAAACTCAGTTTCGCTTGGGTCAGCAGTGAGCCTCGAGGAGATTAATGTGAGCAGAGGCTGGGGAGGCCGATGGACACGGCTGGGGGCGGGCCCTAGATGAGCGGCGCGGGGGGGGGGGGGGGGGGGGGACTCACTGTCCTCCGGGTCCCTCCACCCCCACTGGCTGGGCTCAGCTTGGGTGCCTCCACTGCAGCACCGACCGTCCCTAATGCCCTAAGAGGCGGGGTTGGCCCAGGAGCCTCCTTGCTGGGCCTAGATCGATGCCATGGCCCCACCCAAAGGGACCCTGATAAGAGGGTGGCCTCACTCCCTCGTCCCTTGGACCCTGACCCCGGGGCTGAAGCCACGGAAGGTGGCACTCCGGGAACACACCAGGAGTCCACAGGGGGGTGAGATGCCCTGAGCTCGCACAGCATGGGGGTGGTCCCCAGGCCCCAGGGGACCCAGAAGTGGGGCGTGTGGGAGGTGGTAAGTGGGAGACGCAGCAGTGCCAACCCCATGCCTGGGAGAGCAAGTGCAGGCAGACGAGATCGTCCTGAATATGGGTGTCCCTCAGGAGGCAGAAGAGGGGAGCCATGCGAAGAAGGGGATAGAGACTGCAGGGCTGCGGCCACCAGAAGCTGGAGGGGACAAGAGGGAGCCCCCGAGGGCCGCGTGGCCCTGCAGACACTGACTTAGGATTTCTGGGGCCCAGACAGGTCTGTTGTTTAAAGCCTCTTGGTTTATGGTCATTTGGTAGAAGGGCCGCAGGGCACTGGGCGCAGCCTCACGCACATCCTCATACCTCTTGGCCTCAGCGTGTCCTGTGGGATAGGCCGTGACCCATGGGGGGGCGGTGGGCTCAGTCCCGGCGGCCCTGGACACACACACCCGGCATCTGGAGGCACGCTGGGTCACGTGGCCTGAGCACCCGCATCTGGGGGCATCTGGCTAGAGTGACCGAGCGGGTGAGACGGCCCGCGGCCGCGGGCCTCCCACCCCGCCCCACCGCCCACCCCCGCGGCCTCGGAGCACCCGCCCTGCAGCCCTCGGCCGCTGGCCTCCGCTGGCCTCCAGGAGGCTGCCGGGATGCGGGCTGCTCCCTGCCTTGCACTCCGCCCTGCCTCCCCAAACCCACCAGGGCTGGTGTCCGTGGGGCGAGGGCAGGGAGCAGGTACGGCATATCGGGGTTCCTTCAGGCAGGGGGTGGCCTTGATTCAGGCCCAGCTGGAGGCTCCTGGGCCAACCCCACCTCTTAGGGGATCAGGGGTAGACTGAGGCAGGCACAGAGGGGCCGGGGCTGGGTGGCTGGGGAGGCCTCGGCCCAGGACTGTGCAGTCACTCGTGGTCTGTGTGGAGCCACATCGGGGCCTCAGAACAGCCCCCCAACCCCCTGGCCGTGCGGGGGGCGTGAGGCCCGCAGAGCTGCCCAGCCCACTGTCCCCACCCCAGCCCTGCGGCCAGGTCTTCGCTTGCCCAAGGCCGGGGGTCTGTGCGCTCACCCAGCGCACAGCTCAGTGGACCTCCCCAAACTCCCTGCGGGCGCACGGACCCAATGGAACCATCCGAGGAAGCTGAGCAGAGGTGCTGATGGCCTGGGGCCTGGGCCTGGGTGGAGGTGGCGGTGCTGGGGGCGGGGGGGGGGGGGGCTCTCTGCGTGCAGGAGGGGCTGGGCTGGGCCCAAAGGCGGAGCCTGCCGGCGAGGGACGGGGCTCAGTGGGCCCCCCAGCTGGAATGGCCAGGTGGTCCAGGGGCTCCCAGGGCGGATCGGAGTTTGCGTCTGTCCGTCTGTCCGTGTGGCGACAGCTGGGGGGTGAAGGACGGGGATGCGTCAGGAGGCCCATTGGGGAGGTGCCAGCTCAATGCTGCTGTCCCAGCGGGGTGAGGGCAGCCCTGCCCAGGGCACAGAGCGCGTGGGCCAGAGACTGCCGCCCCTGCCGCTGCCCGGAGCCTCCAGCTCCCAGCCCAAGGAGGCGGGTGGGGTGCCGCCCAGAGCCTCCCAGTGTCCCCCAGCCCGCTGCTGGCCGCGTGGCCATCTGCCTCCTGGTGCGGGGAGAGGCAACACAGCCCCGGGCTGCTGCCCTGACACACACCTTAGGGCCCTGGGAACCCACAGTCCCCTGGGGACAGCAGAGGACCGCCGCCCCCCTGCGTCTGCCGCAGCAGAACTGCCCGTGCTATCCGTGCTCCCGCCACCCCCGGCTGACCCCGGCCGCACCTCTGCTTGGGGGGCGCCGAGAGGCTCCTGGGGCCGGGTGCCTTGGCTCCCAGTCCAGTCGGGAGGGCGGCGAGGACAGGGACTTGCCCAGGTTCTCGCTGACCAAGGCGCACCCAGGGCTCCGACCGGTCGGGGAAGATCTTTGACCCCTGTGGCCGCTCCCTCCCGCCCCCCCGAGGAGTGCGCCCCTTCCAGGCCAGGCCCAGGGGCCGTCAGCTCCGTGTCTCTGACCCCAAGCCTGCCTCCCACGCCAGTGACCGTGGGGGACCGGACGCCAGCCGTGCCCCACCTGAGGCTGTCCCTAGCCATCCCCACTCTCTCCCTGCCTTACAGCCTCCACCTTCCCAGCCTCCCCCTCCAGGGACCTGGGACTCCCGTTGGCACCTGGCTCCCCTCTGCCCAAGGAGCAGGCCTGCGGCAGGGGCCTCCTCCTCACCTGCGCCCAGGGGAGTAAAGGCGGGATGTGCAAGGCCAAGGGCAGGTGGCCCCTGGTGGAGGGAGGCACCCACCTGGAGCCCAGGGTTCTGCTGTGACGGTCTGTCCCGGAACAGAGGGCGCCCTCTCCCCATTGCAGAGAAAGCACCTGAGAGTGTGTGTCTGGGCCTCAGTTTCCCTGCCTGAGCTCCAACTGACAAGAGGCTAATGGGAGCTCTGCTGCAGGGGACGCTCTGAATTCCTCTTGAGGAGATAAGCTCCCCCCTGAATCCCCTCGTGCCCGGGAGTCATCCTGCCCGTCACGGCCCCACAGACTTCACGTCGGAGCCTGCACGCCTGATGAACGGATGGCACGCAGACTCGGTCAGCTCCAGGGAGCGGGAGGGACACCCCACCCCCCGTCCCCCCAGCTGTGCAGGCCGCGCCAGGGCCAGCAGATGGAGGGGCTCCTTTAGAGGACGAAGTGGGCGGGCCTCCACCCCCCCACACCCTCTATACCCCCATCGCCTCCACACCTCACCGCCTCTGCTGTCCCCCCACAGCCTCCGCACCCCACCACCACCTCCGCCGCCCCCAACACCTCAAGAATCAGCCCCAGAAGCGGGCCGAGGCTCTGGGGTGCCCGGGCCAGGTCTGGGACCATGATTGTAGGAAGCCAGGTGCATTTGAGATGGGGTCAGCTCCAGTCAGGAGCCAGCTGCTGGGCACGGCCCCCCGGGGCAAGAGGGTCACCTGGAGCCCCGGGAGATGGTCAGGGGCAACCTGGAGAACTGGGGGCAGGAGGGGGCAGGGACACTGACCAGAGGGAAGACATAGGAGCTGCCAAGGGAGGGGGAGCCGGTGGGATGAGAGGAGGGGGTGAGTGGGAGGAAGCGGTCAGCTGGGCCCTCAGGCCCCCCAGGTCCCCCAGGCGGGCCGGGCTGAGAGGTACAGCCGCGGCCCCAGGCCCCTCCAGAGGATGACGATGGGTGTGGGTCTCGGGGCCAGGCCCTGCTCTCAGGTTGCCTGGGGCCAGGCCGTTGGGCAGGGGCCGGGCCAGAGTCCTGGGCAGACCCCAGTGGCGGTCAGGCCCTCTGGGGCCAGCAGGCCTCCCCCTCTGGGAGCGGTTTTCGCTGCCTGGCGTTCTCCCCGAACCCCAGGCCCCGCCCCGGGGGGCTGTGCCGTCAGCACCCTGCGGCCCCGGCAGCTCCTACGCCAAGGCCCACCCTGGGGGCGGGCTCCGCGGGGTGGCCGAGGCTCCGGGGCCATACATAATGCAGTATTTACCTGGAGGTGATTGGCAGCCCCCCAGCCTCCTGGGCTCCCCCGCCCCCCCACCGACCACGAGCCAGACGTGCATTAAGGCCGAGTGACTTATCGAGCTGTCAGGAGGAGCGTTTGAAGACAGAATTATAGGGGAGAGGAAAAAGATTTTTACCAAATTAATGAAAAATCAATCTGGCCTCAAAAATCCATTAGGCTTCATAATGTGCTGGTTACAGGCTGAGCCGCGCAATCCGATGGCCACCGTGAACTACCGCGCCCCCCCCCCCATTCATTACAACCGCTTACTTCTGAGAGGACACCTGC